GAGAGAGAGAGAGAGAGAGAGAGAGAGAGAGAGAGAGAGAGAGAGAGAGAGAGAGAGAGCCGTTTCAGTGAAATTACAAAAGAACATTCTTCTGGTTCATGTAATGGAAGAAACAGCGAGTTTTAACAGCCCCACAATCTCCATTTGGTTGATCATGATAAACCCATAGAGATAAAAAAGAAATGGGTAACACAGAAAAAGAATACCTGAAGACTGTCTGAGAAGATCAAGCTCTGTTGCATAGAGATCTCATCATAAGTGGAAGCCTCTTGCGGACCAGAAGAAAGGCTTGCGCCTTCCATGAGAAGTGAAAGTAGCTGGATTTTTCCTGTTCATGCACCCCATTTAAAGAGAGAATCACTGTTCTTAGTTTGAAAAAGTTAAAAAGAATAAAAGCATTGAGGTTTCTTTGACTTGATTTTGATTGCATTATAACTTGTGGTGGCCATCCATTTGATTTGTTTTCAATTTGAAACTCGACAACTGTGGGCCTTAGAAATATTTATTTCCTCATGGCCTAAAGGTGGTTCTTTCAAACCTTAATTAAAGTCCAAAACTCACACTATTATATGGTAACTCAGTTTTGGAACATTCTTTATCATGTTAATGGACGGTCTAGATGTTTGCATCACTTTAGTGGATGTCTTGCATTGAGAAAGCCAAATCTGGACCGTCGAGTCCAATCCTATCCTTGATTTTGAGGTTATGCTGAATGAGGGTATTTTCATTATTTTTGGAAAAGGATGAGGGGTTTTTTGTCAATGAGGGAAAATTTTGATGATTCTTATAGGGTTGATGTGGGTAGTTTGGTGCTAAATGCAAATTGGTCCCTCCTCTCCTACCAACATCGTTTTGGTTTAATTGAAAGCGGTTGTTGTGATTATAAATTATTATGCTTAGTGGTATCATACACCACCAAGCCGTTTTCTTATTATTATTATGGTTGTTCAATTTCAACCCTACCTTATTTATCTTCAAGGGTTCCTGCCTCAATAAAAAAAAGTGGTTTCCATAATCCCTAAGCTTTATAAAAATAAAGTAAAGCTTCACTTTGAAATCTTGTCTAGAAAGTGCGTTGGGCGTATGAAATCTTCATGATGGCTCAAAATCAATTTTTAACACTGACTATAAATTTTGAAAATCGAAAAATGGTATAGATTTTGTAGATCCTTAAATACTTATTTTTGGACAAAATGGATGGTATCTTAGTAGGAGTATAAATGGACTTTTTGATTTTTGTAACCACTGGTTTAAAAATATTTCAAAAAATCAACAAAAAGTTTTAGAAAAGATTTATAAGATAGAAAATAAAGTAGATAGCTTAGGACAAATAAATAGTATATACTTAAACCTTGAGTCAAAAAATTTGATAAAAAGCTTTGAACAATCTTTAAATGAAAATAGCGTTATCAAAGAGCCTTATGAACCACGTAAGTCACTCTACTTTGGGACAGAAATCTTGACCCTAGAAGAAGAGTACAATGATTTCAAAGCCATAAATGAAATTCTTGAATACTGGAAATCCCAGTATATCAAAAAAACTGATAATGAAAACCTCATGATAAAAAACAATTATCATCTCATTCTAAACATAGAAGAAGATGAGTCTTTTTCGGTTTTCAAAGTAAAAACCGAGTCCGATACAGAATCAGATTCAGAAGAAAAAGCTGAAAAACCAGCTTCAGATTTAAAAGGAAAAAGGAAGGTTGAAGAGCCAGACCACTTGGATTCTGACCTCGAAACCAAAAGGTATTCTGCCCAAGAATGGGAAGAATACCTACGAAATTTTCAAAAAGAAAATTTTGCAAATTTTCAAAAAAAAAGGGAAGCTTCTAAAAGAGAAGACTTCTATCAGACTACTGAGAAAAATCTCAAACGTTTGTAACATCTGAAAAACCAATTCTCACTGTAAACAACAGATGGGAAGATTTAAACAAACATCAAGTTTCTGTAACTGGAACTTATTTGGATATTAAAAATGTTTCCTTCTCTGAATACAACCAAGTCATTAGCGAATGGGCACAATCCATGACTATTGTTATTGCAAACTCTATTTGAATTTCATAATAAATGAGGTGGTTGCACCATTAATGTGGAAAGTACAAATGTACTGACGTGGTTTGCCAAAGTTAGCTCAGATGTCTAAGAAAAGTAGATGAGGTATCCAAATGTCATTAATTGCAGTGGTTGATGTGTCAAGTCTTCATTAATGAGACTGATGAGGTGTCATGAGTTTCATTAAAGTGATTGATGAATCATCCTGACAACATTAATTTTGGCCGATGAGGTGTCAGATGAGGTGGTATTGATGATGTCAGCGCCTACATCATAGCCTGCGTCATTGATGACGTCATGTTTTACGTCATCCTTGCATTATAGGGACACATGTGCTGGATAATTTTGTAGGTGGACCGTCTCGTAAAATATTATTTTAATCTTCTATCATATTGACAATATTGGTTTTTCCAATAATGTTTAGACTGTCACTGTTGGCAAAAGACTGGTTTTCCCAGTTATTCAGCAATGTATCTCTGAAAATCCCGAGTCTCTCTTCAGCTTGGTTAGCTAAATCAGAGAGGAGATGAATTAGTATTGTTGCAAGATAGAGATTTAGATATTTTCTAAATCTATATCTAATTCTTCTTCAGCTGTGTGAGCAATCGGAAGGTCTGTTACAAACAGTCTTCTGCCATCTGTAAATTTTGCCGTTTTTTATCCTTTAACAGCATACAATTTTTTGATGAATGTTATTATACTTTTGATTGCGCATTTAACAACATCTAGATTTTTTCTCTTCTTCAATAACAAGGTTTTGCTCGGAGATATAAATATCCATTTGTTCTGTTTTTCTCAATTCCCAAATCTGGTATGGCTGAAAGAATTTTTCTCTAGCAAATCATCCAGTTGTATTGGTTATGTCAAAAGTAAGGTGGTCATTGTGAGTCTATGATTAGAAAACTTTGTATACTACACTTTTGATAAAATTGGGAAGGAACTTGAGTGATAGTGACCTAAGGTGCTCAAAGATAATAGTCCAAGCAAGGCCCGTATTCCACAATCTCGCCATAATCATAGTTTTGATTATAGTCGAAGTATAATACGACTTTCATATTTTGGTGCGAGTCAAGATATATGTATCCAAACTGACTTTCCAGGAGTTATGGAATTTTTGAAAACTGGCATCTGTCTACCATTTGGGATATTTTTGAAAATATGTCGTTAGGTAAGACTTATTTAGCCTTTTCATAAAGATAGATTCTTTTGATTTTTTTGAAAACTAGATCACCTGTTTGATGATCGAGGAGTCGTGAAATCTCAAAAAAAATACTTTATTTTGTCAAAAGAGAAGTTTTCATTCCAGTCTATTTGTTTAATGGATAGAAATATTTTCTCTTTCAATTTTTTGAAATTTCGACTTTGATTGTTTATCAGGTGTGAGAGTGAATTCATATGTTTTCGAAATCGGGCTTTGTTTCTTAAGAATAATTTTTCTATACTTGATCTAGCTCTTCATAAATATTGTTTGGAATATCAGGTTTTCTGAAAAAACTAGAAACTTGTTTAGTTTCTACAGGAAAGTTTTGGTGAAGGTCTCTTTGTAAAACTAAAGCTTTTTTGTGAGAAATATTTTTTGAACTTTGGGTTTGAGCAAATTGGTTATTCGCTCTAGACCATTCGCTTCCCTCATTTTTTATGAGTGACCGCTTTCCATATTGTGCTACAATGTACACCTTTTAGGACTCGAAATCTTTTTTTACAACCATATGGTCAAGGATGGGACGATCAATTTGAAGGTTTTTCGAATCCAGAATTACAGTTTTCAGTAAGTTTTGAGGTAGGGGTTTACTCATGAAAAATTATTTTAATCATCAAGGGACACATTTCAACATTTTTGTTCCCGTAAGGTGTAAAGTTAAAAGATGGATGCAAACGGGTGGTCCATCAAACAAACAATTGAAACTCGGAGTTTAAATATTTTCTTCATAACTTATTATATTAAGTTTTAAAAATTATTTATTTATACATACTCATACTCATGATCTCCATCTCAAGGCTATATGCTCCTTAAAAATTGGGTCTAAAAGTCCATCTCAATAATGGAGTTCTGAGAGGGGACTCATGTCGGCATGTCCTTTACTTGTTTTGTTAGGACTGCGGCGGTGTCAAAATATTTTCTTTTTATAAAATGCCACACCCAGGAAATCAAATTTTTGTAAAACTTGAATACACGGCTGAGATTAACGAATTAAAGTTTTTATGGAGGGCCAGGATTGTCGACTCAATGACAAAAGGTAACACGAGTGAGCAATAGTTGGCATATTTTGTTTTAAAAAAAGGGTAGTGCACGCACGCACGCACGCACGCACGCGTAAATTATGGTGTATCGGTGATTTCTGTGTTGATAAGAGACGTGGAGTTGAAGAAATGGATGGAGGCGGTGAAAAGAAGGGTGGTGCTGAAAATGATGATATGTTTCTGGTGGGCAAAACTTGCCATGGAGTACGGTATAATTAAGAAGCCGACACCAACGTAACTTTTTAAAGAGGGAAGGACAGGCCAGAATGTTCTTTACATCCCAATCCCAATGTGTTGTCTGGAGTGGGGTACATCATTCATTGGTGATTTGGATTAAGTTTGCATCGGTCTAAATTAATAATTAAAAAATAAAAATAAAAATAAAAAATAAGGGCTTTTATGGTAAGCACCTAAAAAATTTAAAAACGAGTGAGAATCACGTAAATATCTGTTTTAATTTTAGTTATTATTAAAATATTAAATACTTTCTATCATAACTGATATGTCCGTTTTTTTAGATTTTATAACAATTTTTTTTTTAAAAAAAAAGCGAACCTACCCATTTTGGGTTTTTTAAAAACTGAAATCAGGTGATCTGATTTCTTCAAGAGTATACAATTTTTTTCTCTAACTTGTGGGTCTTATTTGTGTTATCACTTTACCACTCTCTCTTCACATTATACGGGTAAAAATGTTTTTTTTTAACTCTCTCCCTCTGGTCTTCACCGAGCGTATTTTTTTTTTGTAAGTTTCACCTTGCCTCTTGAGAGATGAATTTGGCCTAGATATTCTCATAGCTTGAAGGGTTTGAATTGACGAGACAATCTCTTTTTGAAGGTACAGCATCATCTGTTTGTTTTCTATTCTCCTCTGATGTATACAAGTCAAATTTGAGTGGGCCTATCGAAACCAATCGAACCTGAGAGCATAGAAGGTCCATAATGGCATTTTGCAGCTATGAATTTGCCTTTGAATGAGGCCAAGAGAGTATCGTTGGGGAAATTGAGTTGAGGCAGGATTAGCCGATTGCAAAAGTGTTGGGTGATTGAATTCGGTGGTTGCAAAAGCGTTGAGGGATTGAGTTTTTAAGTTGGAAGGAAAAGGGGGGAAGTAACAGGAAGGCCATTTCCCTTAATAGGGGGAGTAGAG